TCAATCAAATGTGTTGTAAACATTCTCTATGATGGGAAAACCTAATAAAATATCTAGTTTGAGTTGAGAATTGACCCAAAAAGTGCAATCAGTAAATTCACTCACAACCGCATATGCAGTCACTAAAATTTTCTACAGTGCGTAAGACATTTGTTGCACTTGTATGTACTATGCGCATATACAGTAGGTATACAATTTTTTTTTTGTTAATTTTTTCAATTGTTTGTGCTCACCTATAGCTTTTATTATATACTTACACCTTTTTCCATTCTCTCAGTATCTTTTGTATTTTTTTGTTGCCGTTTAGTAATTGACATATCGACAATAGCACCACTTACCGCGTCCAATTTGAAGTAATTAAGTACCTGGTTTCCATATACTAATAATAATAATATCGACAGAAATATTCTTATTATTGATGATGGATTTCTTATTCAATATTATTATTACTACTAAAACGAAACAATAAAGGAAAACAGCTGATAAACTGACATCTGTCAAGCTTCACAAGTAAACCGTGACGTCATTATGAAGTTGACGTCATCATAAAGTTAACCTGGTTTGTCTGGTTAAGTTCGAGGAAAAACGACTTATGTTCATCACAGGGATAATGTCAGCAGAAAGGATTTTTCAAATCGGTTCAGTGTTTCGGAGCCTTATTGAATACAAACAAACAATCACATCTTTCCTCTTTATAATATTAGTAGGTATATAGATAGGTACTCAATTGTATTATGCCGTTTGTTTTTATATTTCTTTATCTGCTCCTTTGTGGAATTTACACTCTCAGATTGTGAGAGAAAAATCTTCTCTGCGTGCATCCTACATTTCATTCACGGCTCTCGTTCAATTGATTCGTAAAAAGAGGATTTTCTAACACCACACTATGCTTGAAATGAATGCTGTATTCATTCTGTATAAAGTGTAAAACTACTTAAGTTTAGGAACAAGGAACAATGATAGCTCGATATTTTATAAATACGCGGCAATTTCACTGGTGCTTCTATATTACAATGAAGTAGGTATAAGTAAACAGTCGTCCTGTCCTCTCCAAGTGTTCAGTGAATTATTATAAGTACCTAGGTATAGTCAATTTCGTTCCTTTATACACACAGCTTCAAGTAGGCTCTATTTATTTCAATACATGTTCTAATCATTCTAGACATTCTCGACTCAGCTTCTTTTCACTATACATACAAAGTGGGCATATAATAGTTATGTATGTACCAAGTGCGTTATATATAGATCGTGGAGCATACAAGATTTTATTTTTCACCAAAAATTATCTTATTATAATGAAAAATCGATTTTAAAGAGCGGTTCATTGCTCCTAACATTTTCTTTCCATTTTTCTTCTCATGGTAGGCATGTCATTTGTTGATATTTTGACATTTGTTGAATATTGCTGACATCATTTGATTTAGTGAATGTCATTGCTGCTTTCTTTGTGTAGTCTTATAGAAATAATGGAAATGATTACGAATTTACCCAAGAATATCATGAAAAATGCAGACAAGGCTTCGATTAACTTATTGCCAGAGAAATCCAGGCTCCACAAGGATTATGAAGTATTTAATCAAAGGAAGTTGAAAATAGTAATTTAAGGTAGTTATTTCAAGGTAGTATATAAAGAATATCAGTATTACCAAGGGACCCGGGTATGAGGTCCCGTGGTATAATAATTTTCTTCACTACCAAGGTGTACAGTAAATGGGCTAGACAGACTCCAGACCAATTTTCAAAATTCTAAGTCCTTTTTCCCCAGATTCTATATTACATTTTTTTCACAACTAACATTTCAATCATTTCTATAAATTTTTGGATGTATTTTAAATTGATATTCATCATACTGATCATATTGGTAAGTTATATTTTAATATCATAATATCATAATATCATTTCATTCTATTCGATTTGAGCAGAGATAATGTAAATTCTCAATTTCAGATGATTTCGATTTTTCATGCACTCTTTTTGGATATTCAACAGATATAATTCCATGTTCGACGTGGCAAATAGCCAGGAAAGCATTTGTTTTCTGTTGAATATTCAGAATGATATAATGTGCTTATCTTTATATGAAGGAGAATGTAAATTCTCTTCTTCAGAAGATTTTGTTTTCAATATAGATATAATTCAATGTTCGTCGTGGCATATAGCAAGGAAAGTAGTTGTTTTCTGTTGAATACATCGAGAAAGAATTAATATTTTCATCACATGGATAATGCGAATTCTCAATGTATTTCTTTATATACTTATATATCCATTTTTTTGTGTTCATAAATATATCTGAGTATTCTTTTTCAATACATTACTATGAAACTGAAATATGGACCTATTTTCATCACCATGAAAGCACTTCTCTTCAATTCTAATTAAAATCTAGTAACCATAACCATGACAGCATATTGATGAATACTACTAGATTCGAGTATCTCTGATAAGAACAGTGCATTCGGGTTAATTACAACAGAAGTGGCTATGTCTTTATTGACTAATGGTTCATAAAATGACGAAAACTACCTTGGTAGTAAAAAGTCACTTTACGCCTCGAAAAGGAGTAAATAATGGTTGGTTTTATTATATAGCTAGTGGTAGAAAATAATGGATATAATATAAGATTTCAACTATTTCATTCTACTTATATCTGATTGTTTTCTATATCGACGTTTCACTTGCTGTTGGGGAAGAATATTTCACATCATTTTTTTTCCATTACTGAATTCGTATTCTCCACATCATGATGGAAAACATATACAACAAATATTACACCTTATTCATTTTCTTTCTTTCTTTTCCCCGGCATACGAATATGCCAGGATAGATAATTGATCAAAGGGTGTGAAACTTTTTGGGGCAGAATAAAATAGTAGCTCGTCTGAACGAGCGAGGGAATACCGGGAATGGGGTGGAGTGGAATATATACTCGGTGTGTGTGTGTATATGCGGCGTTGCATATTATATCATCAAATATTAAAAACTGTAGAGGCTGTCTGGTACGTGTCAAAGAAAATTTATATTCATGGCACGAGGGGCCAGGCATTTCTGGATAGTCATGGATAGTGCAGGGAAAAAATTGTATATACGCTGGATGAAAACAGTTGAAGTGAAATTCTAAAATACTGTCTGTAGGTTAATCGAGGAGGTGGTATATTCATTATTCCAAATTTTTTGGGATTTTCTCTCCTCGTTTCTATAAAATAAAAATATGAATATTATTTCAATATACGTGTAGTAAGGACAAATCAGATGATTTGCCCCAAAATGTCACTGCGTTTAAAGAATTTTCCTATCAGAGAGCCTAAAAGAAAAATTCACTAGCTTGTCAGTGACAATTTGTATTGGAAGGGAAATAAAGGTATATAGAAAAAATATCAAATTTTCACTTATCTTTGGACGTTTCGGGACCGGTTCTGCTCCCGTTTTCAACATAAGAAGAGATTATTTCAAGACATTATACGACTTCGCTATTGAAATAATCTCTTCTTATGTTGAAAACGGGAGCAGAACCGGTCCCGAAACGTCCAAAGATAAGTGAAAATTTGATATTTTTTCTATATACCTTTATTTCCCTTCTCCAAAAATTTTTTCAATACAAATTGTCACTGACAAGCTAGTGAATTTTTCTTTTAGGCTCTCTGATAGGAAAATTCTTTAAACGCAGTGACATTTTGGGGCAAATCATCTGATTTGTCCTTACTACACGTATATTGAAATAATATTCATATTTTTATTTTATAGAAACGAGGAGAGAAAATCCCAAAAAATTTGGAATAAGTGAAATTCTATTCGATTATGAATCTCGTGGAATATTAACCAATCAATGGGTATGTTCCGTTTTTAGAGTTGGTTGTTGTTGGTCATCTTATTTACCGGCTGAAAACTGGCTAATTACGGAACACGATTCCTGAAAGAATGGTTACTCATATATCACCAGAGGAACTAGTCGAAAATCATCGATATCTTGGTGAGTCACCCTACAAGTCACCCTACAAGTAATTATTCATCACACACAAGCGCGAAAGCTCTACGCAGAAACACAATAGACACAGACAGTATAGAATTGCCAAAAGTAGAGTAAAAACCAGAGGATCAGCAGTGTCCCCTTCATTTTCATATCTCAACTTTCTGCCACTCCATTGTTTATCAGCATAATATTTGAAAACTGAATTCAAAATGTCTATGTCATCAAATTTCCATGTGGACGACTATAATAGTATTTTAATAGACTCAATTTTTGTTGTTCAATTTCTCGTTTATCTGGAAACTTAGCAAAAATCGGATATTTCAGGAATTATTGTTGTTAGATCAAAGCTCTAAATAAGCGCATCATGAAATTCGATATTATTGTATTTATTTTGATAACATCTTGTGTAGGCATAAACTGATCAAAGACTTTCCAATGCTTGCCCTCAATAGCTGCATCATTACACATATTATTATTTCACCAGGGTGCAATATAGTATCGAAAATTGAATATAGACTACAATAATAGAGGTAATATTTATAGATATTATTGGATGAACCAAAGTTTACAGAATATGCAACCATCTTGCACATATATCAGTCTCTCTGGTTGTTATGCTGATGAGCTGTGGTGTCTTTAAATATCTCAATCTTGTTATTGATATTCCTTGGTTTCTTGTTTGGCTAATCCAAATCACAATACTCGTTAACTGATCGACTACTAGTGCTTTTGCTATAAATATACAAAGGAACATCGACGAAACGCGAAAAGAAAGATCGCATCGCGCATCCTCAGTCCCAAGACAACCCCACATAGTGGAGCGGCTTCTACGTCCTTCCTCATCGCGCAGCGTCCCCGTTTTCGCCCGACGTCGCTCTACCCTTCGGCGGGAGAACGCGTAGTGCGCGTCTCCACCGCCAGGGCGCGCGCGCACCCTTGACGCGTCCGCCATTGGTAGAGAGGCGTGGCCTGTCGGCTGACAGATCGTCCATCTGCGCCCCACTCTGCCCCCTCGAAGCGGCGTGATTGACAGTTGGCAGACGACTGCGGAACGCGTAGCAGCTCCACCGCACGCGCTTCGGTACATCGGGGCTCCAAAACGAGGCAACACCACACCATCCATCCATGGTGGCGACGGAGTAATCGGGCCTACCACCACGTGGCTGAAAGAGAAACATCGACTTCCGACTTTGGTGACAGTGCAGTGCTCTGGGATATACTTGATTAGTGTGCTAGTGCGCGACGGAAGTGACTCGGACAAGTAGCCTGGAGTGCCATCCAGTACCTTCATGGCACAGCCACGGGTACGGTTGCATCGAAAGTACGACCAGGAGAAGACACAATCTGCCGGCCACTGCACCATCATTAACAATCGATCAATCAAACGCGTCGAAATGAATTGCACCCATGCCCACGCGGCTATCGGTGCTAGACGTCAATAAACCCGCGTGTTATTTAACGGAAACGTCATCGATAACTCATGCGAAGTAGCAAAGACAGCAAGCGATTAATCTTGGATCTTCGTCTGGAGGATTCAATGATGATAGATTGCGACCAGTCACTAGAATATGGAACCTAATCAGCTACCATACCATAACATACCAAACCGCGGGATTCAGCAAAGTTAACATAATCATCACCACCAGCTTTATATGTCATATCTTCCCCATCATCAACTTCATCGATTTCCAGTCAGTCATCGTTTCAACATATCATTTTATCTTCTTGTTTAACTTCATATTTTGAATTGACCAACCACATTCGAACAAGTTTTTCACTGTTCCATTCCATTCACCTATACATTTTCCATCTATTCTAGTCAATTTATTCTTCATGTTCACCTCCAATCATTCAATCATTGGTTTTAGTCATATCACCCTGTCGTGAAACAAGTATTGTTGCCATAGATGCTTATACCAATAACAATAACTAATGGTACTAAGCCATAAGCAAACTTCATATACCACAATGGAATTCACAATTATTTTCAATTCCAAAGTCAACAAACAAAAATTTTGCCACCTTCACATCTATTTTATCATCATATCCTTATCTTGTTAACTTCAAAAGATTTCAGTCACATTCTCTTCAAACATCAATATCATTCATTTTATTTTCATGTGCAACTCCATATTTTGAAATGACCAATCACATTCACTTCTTTTTTACTTTTTCATTTTTGGTAGGTAGGTATTTACCTTCATTTTCTTCATCAATTTTCTCGTCTTCTTCTTCATGTTCATTTCCATCAATTTTCTAGTCCTATCTTCCTATTATGAATCAATTACTATTGATTATACCTACCTATCTTAAATTTGAAACAAGTAGATGAAATGCTCCTGGTTCCATCTTGGGTTTCAGAATGCCCATATAGTTATGTGAATGCCATCAACCCATCTAGGTAACTAGATCAGCTCAATAATGCCCTCGATAATGCCAATCTCCATTTGATGTATAGTTTTCTTCAAATAATTCTGAGAATCCTGTTCCTTCAACAACATCGATGTCTAGAGATTCATCAAATAAACTCGTCATCAAGAAATTTCCAAATCTTCGAAATCTTCTGAATCGAAGCATCCATTTCTGAGGGATTCATTCGAGGATTCATTTGATTCTCTCACTTCACTGAATTCATCAGAAACCTACATAAACGGTACTTAAACGTTACCCTACACTTCTTTGTTCTGTATTATGCACATCAGTTTGATCAAGTCTCATCAAAATCGTGTCTTGGTGGCGTTCCCAGTTTGGCCAATATGAGCGGCATCAAAATCTCTAGACGGATTTCATGGTTCCATCTTTCCACTGGTGGCACTGGTCAGGACACATCAAAATCAATCAATCCCTATTTATGTTCAGTCGATTTATCATAACACCCAGACCTTCAACAAGGTTTATGACCTTATCTACATTATATATACGTATACAGATAAATACAGAAAGTGGCGGTTCATCAGCATTCAATTTACCCGACGCTAGCAATACCTTTTGTGAATTCACAATTGGAGCTACTGTGAGGGTATCACAGACATCTAACGTTATATCTAATGGAAATAATCACCTAATAAGAGAAAATACAAATGAATAAATGAAATATAAATGTTCCTACGAGTAACTTAATGGGAACAAAAAATCTTGCTTTACGTGAACAACGAAAAAATTATCACTTTCCTTAATTACCAGCTATCAGGTTACCATTAAGTGTTCTTTCACTAATAATCGAATTAATGCAATTTACTTTTTTGTTTGTTTACTAGCCGATGACGTATCAGATGATAAAAAAGTTTTATGGGACTATTCAAGTCGTTCGATCATGGCTAATAGATTTTCTAATAGTACAATTAACAACAGAAATATAAATAACAAATAAAAACTATTTTTGTCGACATTTTAACGTACAATAATCCTATCGGTCGACTACATACCTACTCAGTTATCAATACAATTACCAAACGTTATTTCATTAGAAATGAAAATGTCTAGCACGTAGCACTTCAACAACAGAACTAGGTATCTTCTCTCAAGTTGTAGTCAGCGTCGAAAAATGTTTTGGCTAATGGACTCAACCGTTTAATTCTAAGTTCGATTAGTCAATAACAGATGCAATTAATACCGATGTTTTCTAAGACTATTGAACGAGGCGTATATTATCTCAGCCATAATAATTATAGTTTGGCGCTCGAGTTCTTAAAATTTTCTCTTAAATCGGATGATCGAGCAGTTTGAGGAGACGGGAAAGATACCTAACCTGCATGCAGTGAAACTACATAGTCACCGTGATTCTGGATTATCATCGAGGAATGTCGAGAGGAATTCGAGCGAACAAAGAAGTATTCGGGTCCCACAAGGTTCGGTTACCGTCGCGCGATGATACCACAGTATCGGGTACCAAGTGAAGTAATGTTCGTGTGCTGAACTGTGTTCATTTTCTTCTAGAACCAACAGGCATGTTTGCGGAAAACTATGACGATTTTTGGGAATTGGAAAAACTTCGTTTATGGAAACTCTCGGTTCAGTAATAGTACTTTTCATAAAATTAAGCAAATTTCAATTGGCAAGTTTAGTGGTTGGTGATCAAAAAAAGAATATATTTATACATGCATCCTCGCATACATCCTAACTTTTTGATGAGTCTTCATCAGATACCTATCACGGAAAAAATGGTTTTGTCGATAGAGTTTTATGATGCATCAGTTTATACTGCCAGAATAAGTATACCTAGTTGGTTTTCGGAATCGACCTAGCTGTACACTGCTGTTTTTCTCAAGTATCCCTAAGTATTGCCCAATTTTTTAAATCTTCACAACTTCTTTATTGTGAGTCGTTCTTGTTGAACACCGTTTAGACCTGCCAGGTTAGTATTATTCCAAAAGAAAATTAAATTCAGGAGCAATAGATGATAGCAAAGGAGTGAAAAATCAATCATTACCTTGAGAATAATCACCTAGCTCGAAATTAAAATTCAATGAATTATCAATTTGTCTACTTGAAAAAAAACTGAAAATATCTGTCTTGTTTTTTTTTTCTTCACATATCACGTTGGAAGCTGTATCTATACTAGACAGAAAATAATATATTCTGCACCTATCTAGGGTGTTCCTTTAATACATATTATTCCAAATTTGTTGAAGCCATAATATGATATCATCACACCTACCTATAAGTAGTATACTAATTTTCCCTTACGGTAAAAAGTCGGTTGAATTAGATGAAAAGTTCTTTCGATGCTGTGTGCTGAATCGATATCCATCTAAAAAAAAAAAATTTCTAAAATTTGTTCTAAAATTTGTTCTCTGTGAGAAAAATTTGAGATTCCGAAGAAAATGAGAAATATAATGGATGATGTCAGATGAGGATGCATCAAACAAATGAATGCGTTGCGATCGAATGAATCAATTCGTTATTGAAAAACATATATATAAAATTTCAATTTCATTGCTGCATTATGGAAGGAATGTCATCGAAGAACTGTAAAATTAACAAAACTCATCTGACAAATTCAAATCGCATCCTAATTTGGATACTTCTCATAGTTAGGTATTTTCCGTGTGGGAAGAAAATTTGTAATTCTCCATCGATCTTAAAAAAAATTTATTGGCTTCTCTGTATGTCTATGAATAATGCTCACAATCAAGATTCCGGCAAAGTCCGATAAAATAAATTAAAATTAGTTAAAAAACATCTCCGAGTCCAAAATTAAAATATAATAAGATGTAACTCTTCCGATAGGAATCTTAATAACAAATCCTCCAGCATTATCTCGACCATCTTTATTCATGAGTACGTCACTTTCTCGCTTTCGACTTCAGAGAGTAGGCGAATCGGAACTGGAAACAACCGGAAAAGTCGTGTAAAATGCGGGAAAACCGAGGGAAATTGGGGAAAAGTGTGCTCGCGCCGTCGGAACCAGATCCTAATGGGCCCCGAGCAGTAAAAGGGGCCTAAACGGAGTTGGAGCTTCGGGGTCGAGATCGAGATGGGACTATCAAAACCGAATCAAAATTCGAATGGCATCGCCGTATCGAGGTTTATTGCTGAAGAAGGAGTTTTATTAGGTAAGACAATTGAATTTTCACGACTGGTACAATGAATACGATGCTAGAAAGATGATGAAGGTATAATATAAAACTGACACAGTCGTCTTGGAACGATCAAATGAAAATTATCTCTATAGTATTTGATAACTATTCATTACTTACCTGTCTTTTAACACAAACTCGATTTTTTTAACTCAAGCGGTTGGCAAGGAAGTGAACTTAACTTCAAGCTTTACCACAGCTGCTTCACAACTTCACACCCAAGTTATTGAGTTGATCTCGAATGATGTATCAATAATTCAAAAATGAACATATTTGAAGGTTTTACAAGGCTCAAATACGCAAGCAATACATAAAATTGTATTGCTAGGATGTGATTCATATCATATATTTTCCAAGAGTTAGTACAGTTGTGATAGGACATATTCGGAAGAAAAATTATTAGAGGATATGGCAATATGATGACTGGAAAGAGTTTTCGTGATTCTGATAGGTACTCAACAACTCCAGCATAATTGGTTAAAATTGAGAGAATGTGAATTCCCGATTGGGAATCTGGATGAATTTTAGTTATTGCTTGTATATTTGACCCTTGTAAAACCTCGAGAGTTATTGAGAAGTTGAAAATTTGAACGTTTTGAATCTCGTTTTGAATTAACTCCATAACTTATTTGGGTGAAAAGTTATCAAATACTGAGTTTTCATTTGAATGTATGCTGTTTGTTTCATATAGATTAACCCTCGGATTAACTTAATAATAAACTCAAGTTATGATTTTGTGAGTTATTCTGCATTATTTTCAAACCAAAATTGATTACTCCCAACTCCCTGATTGAGCTGAAATTTGTACTATGACACTGTTATTATATTTCCTATATACAAATTGAGCTCGAATTTGAGAAAAGTATATTGTACCAGTTCGTGATGTTCATTGTCTGACTGAAAGTGACTCTAAATTCAAATCGCAGGACCATAAAAGTTTCCAACGAGGCATTCCGAGCAAATTGTAAAATGACGTTTCCAAATCATTCTCGGTTAGTGAAAATAAAAAGGCTCGCCATATAACACAGTCTGTTTAGTACTCCATGAAACTTTACGACAACGGCTATTTCATTCCAACAAGTTTCTACTTTAGAGCCACTAAAATCCCATCTAGATACTGAAATAGAGTTTATCTAGCGCTCGAGATCAACACAATATTATCCGATTCTTTGAATATTATATTGTTATTCTTTATTAGCGATCGATCGTTATTTCTGTGATGAGAATTCGACGGAAGTCGTTTCTGAAGCGATTCGGTGTTAATAAAAGGTGTATTAAGCCCTAATAAAAAAGTATATCGAACTTTCCGAGTGGAGGAAGTTGGTTCTTCGAAGAATATTCCCTCTTTCAGTTAACGTTTAATAGAATTCAGAAACTTCCGAAGCTTACAAAATAATTGAATTTTCCAACAAACTGATTTATTATCTATACATCTGGTTTTCTCTGAGACAACGATAACCTATTATATATAGGTATAACTCACCATTTGATCAAATAATCCCATCATGGTCAAAGGTTTGTCATGTTTGTAGAAGCAAAAAAATGAAGATAGGTACCAATTGTGAAAACAATGCTAATACCGAGGCTAATCCCTAATACCGATAAAATAGTAATCAAAAAGATATGTTCCTAATCTCGTATACCTAATCTTATTTGTTCGAAAATTAGATAAGGGCAACCTTTGGATATTACGTGTGAAAATTAAGTATCCCGCTTAGGGCATCTAAGTTTTAAACAAAAAATCAAATGGAGTTTCAAAATTAGCCAGAATATTAAACAAATATAGAGAGACAAATAAAGACTTGGCGACGGATGATGATGATGATGATGGTGACGATGATGATGATTTGACTGAAATTATTTCTTCACTTCTGATCTTTGCACTATCCACAGAAAAATTATATGTATTTGTTGATTTTTTAATCGAGACCTAGATACTTATACGAGTACTTATAGCAGCAGAAGATATGGTGAGTGACTCCACATGATATTCTGCTTTAGTGTGATAAAATTTAGGGAGTGATTACTAGTCATATTAAATGAGAAAAAGTGTAAGAGTCACATATTTGTTTGAACCGCGTTTCGAACCGAAGATTGACCATTGAAAGTACAACTTTCTTGTCCAATGTGTTACTTCTGTATCTCGCTTAGTTTTTGACGAGACAATAAAAATTCCCCCATCGAGATCACAGTCTATGGATTATTTGAGATTACTCAATAACCTCAAAAAGCATCATTCTGAAAGACTTTGACAGTCATCAAACAGTCTGAATTTTGCTCGGAGTGGTGCCACCATAAACTTACCACATAGTGATAAAAAAAAATTCGAACTTCAACATCATTTATCTCCAATATGAAGCAAGTTAGGATACAATTTGTTGTTATAAACTTTTTTCCTGAAATAGGTATGGAAAGCAATCTGGTCCTAAATTTTTTCCTCGCTCATTCAGAATTATCATGTAGCCCGGACCTCGGCCCGGACTTATAATTTTTAATGCCCATTACTTTTGCGAACAGGGACGTACCTTGATTCCAACCCGAGTGCTGACCCAAAATTAGCTTTGAGTTTCCAGACAAGAATTTCCGCTACCATTCGTGATTTTGTAATACTGCGTGTTCGACAATAAAATTTAATGTTCTTCGCTGTAAAAAAAAGCTCTTAAAATTTAGTGATGGTGTTGTGGCCGAGATGAACTGTGCAGTGCCGTACCGTATGTGTGTGTGTCTTCTCCTGGTCTCTAATGGATTGTGTCGAATTGCTTCTTACCGATGTCAATTTCAGGTGTAACTTTTAGAATAAGGCTGTTCCAACACTAGTCATCAAAATTCTCATCATGGATGTCCTTCAAAAAAACGTAAATATGCCAATTTTTTATCTCAGTAGTATAGTGTTTGATGGTCAATTATTTTCATGTATTCACAAACGAACCGGAACAAACGATGAATTTCTTCGAGAAAATATTCATTTTCTGAATATCTCAGTTCTAAACCATATATAAGGTTCGGTATAAAGAATGTTTGGATATAGAAAATTGAAAATATAAAGAGATCACAGGTATCCAGTGAAAATAGATCAAGTTTCACGCCAAAGGCACCTGTTTAAATTTCTGATTCAAGCAATATTGATATCACGATTGATATCCAAGTTTATAATATCTTTGAGATTAACAGCGCAGTAGCAGATTACATAGGAACCTATTTCAAAATATAAAGTAAACTCTTGATGAGGACGTTTATTGCATACCATAAAATATTTATTGCTTGATAATATAATAAAAAATTATAACACCTATATCATGCTATTTCGATCCATTGAATTATGATAAAGTGAAGTTCAAGAGACTGTCGTGGATTACTTAGTTGCCGAAGTACGTATTCTGAATATGTTGTGGTGTTTTGGGTGTACTTCTGTATTCCAATGAGTTCTGAGGAAAAAACTTCAAGCATCATTTAATTTTCAATCAATTACCAATTCTATAACGAAGATTTGTTGATGAACACTAATATATTATATTATAGTTAATTCTTGTGATTTATAATATAATTTATATCAAATTCTACTCAAATCCCCATTCAAATCGTTCGATCTGCATATATAGTTTCTGCGAAGATTGGTAAAGTAATAAAACTGAGTAATTTAAAATTTATGTATTGGAATTTGGAACAAAAGATACAGAAATTCTCTTCACTAGAATTGCGTAGGTATTTAACGACCGGTATAGGTTAGCTATAGATTAAACTGATACAGATTCCTAATTTATTGAATAGGTATGTCTTGGATTCCGGAATAAATGAAATAATTATGTTAATTTTGTTTGTAAAATGTAGATGTACGTTAATCAAGCATAGAAAAAAAAGTATTATATACGAAATTAATTTTCTTCATTCATGGGGTCGCCATTAGATTTTCCAAACCTAATCAAATATTCCAAGACGATCGATATCGGATAGCAAAAACTTCTACCAGTTCATTGGCTCATAATTTGCAACAATAACACATGCGAATGGTATATGAAAAATCCGAGGAAAAATCTGATTTGAAATCTTTCGAGGCCTGTAATAAATACAGTGTAATTGTTGAATTTGGAGAATTCAATACCAGTTCAGTAGCCTATTGAGATGAAACAAAGCAGTTGTAAAGATTCAACAAGACCTTACATCGGTAGCAGAACGTGTGTGGTGTATCAATGGTAATTAAGGTTTAGCAGAAGAACTGTATGGTCATTACTTTTTTCACCTGTACTAAAATAAAGCATGTCAAATCTATTGCACACTTCTGGTTAATTTTATGTTTGAATAATTTGCTTTAGTGATCATAAATAGTTTTATGCAGCAATAAAAGAAAATCATGTAGTCACTGCAAATATGAGAATGAGACAATCTGCATTTCTCAGCAGCATTTTTTAGTACATCAGATTTGGCACTGCGCTATTGAAATATTAGCGTTAATTATTTGAAATATTATTCGAATATTCATTCAAGCAGAAGCTCATTTGTACTGAAATACATGGAATGAATTATAAACCATAATTTGTTGAAAGAGGAGTTGCCAACATACAGAGTGATTATGTATATATTCACAGTTCAAGTAGTTGACTGGGAATTATTGCCAAATGTTAACTCAGATTCATCACCAATATGATGTGGCTAGTATATTCGTAATTATTCACCTGTTTCTGATTAATAACAATTTGTATGAGAAAACTTGATGGTATTATATACATAATTTTCTCTGTATTTTAATTTAGAATATCGCCTCTATACAACTAGATTGACCACATAGAGATAAAAACACCGAAATAGACTAATTGGATATTTGATGGCCTCAAAAAAAGCAAATAAATTACTATAGTACCGAAGCGGATACCAAGCGATTTACAAAGAAGGTAAAAAAAACTTGATGTAAATGAGGTACCTGATTAACATTCATGTTTATTAAAAATTGAATGCTAATGACTGATAGTTATGTCTAAGTGAGAGTATCTATTATAGAAATAAAATAAAAAATATATATTTATTCACGACCAGGATGCCAAGTGAATTATATAAATATTCATGGTGAAAATATTACTCAAAACAATTCTGATACTTGCATTTAATGTGATAATGTGTGATACAGAATATATATATATATATATAGAAATAACTCGGAATTATTTTAATATAAACAAACATAAATCCTCGCATAAATCGAACCTTATATAGGATTATATAGTAGGACATATTCCTCAATATGATTGGATAAAACCTTGGATAAATAAGTAGATCAAAAATATTTCAAGTTAAATTGATTTTAATATTCACCTCGGTATTTACATCGAATTGAACCTATCCATTTCCATTTAGAATAAAAAACTGGACCAATTGTCTAACATTTATAATTTTGTATGAGTATTACTTCCATTACTTCAATATACATTATGAGCTGGATTATAAGTGGTAAGGACAAATCCGGACAAACAGATGAATTGCCCCGAAATATCCCTACGTTCAAACATATGGAATGAGTTATGGTCGAGAAAGTTCGAATTAGGGATTCGGATTTCTTTAAATCGTTTCAAACTCTTATGAAAGAATAATTTCAATATAGAGGGTAAAGCACTGATGTTTTACAAAAATTTAAGATTGTAAACCTTGTGTAAAAATGTGAAAAAGTCTCGGAAAAAGTCCTATCAACAGAAAGTCAGAAAATTCTTTGTTTCCAAATTATTTCAAATAGATTTACACCTGAACTTCCAAAATTGAATTATTTTGAAAATGTTCCGCAGTTTTTATAATCATCTTGAATTTAAGAAATATATGTTCAGCCAAACATCTATTTTCGATCTAATTTGTACCTCACTTCTTCGAGAAAAAACAAGTTAAACAAAAAATTGCGTCTATCATAATATTTTTCTTCATTCTCACATAATTTGAAGTAAAAATGAAGTTCAACGACAATGGAATGATATTCATCATAATCATGATATAAGTTTCATTGCCAAGTGAAATTATTCCAACGTACCAAATTTGAGTGAAATCTCATGTGCCGTTTCAAAGTTATGGAAAACCAAAAACCATTTGAAAATTTAAAGTTTTGGCGCCCAAACTGAGCAATTTAAGTTGTTTTTTCTTGTTGAACCGTGTTCAAGATTAGTTTTGAACCGTTTTCAAGCGTGACGTAGTAATTAATCTCATTCAAGAAAACAGACTATTTTGAAATGGAAGCTGTCATAAGTCAGATACATAACACATAACCTGAAAACCGAAATCAATAATTATTATGTTTTAAAATTGATGGTTTCTGTGAGAACTCGAGAAGTGTAAAAGAATGGAATCACTAATAGTGGATTTTTCAATTGATAATCAGCAGATGAGGCAAGATGTTTGTCTTTCACGAATGCTGAACCAGTCCAGAGAAATAGATAATAATCTGGAAATTATTATTCTTCTCGAAAATCTCCAGCATCCTAAAGTGGAAAATTATGCACCACTCCATTTTTTGAGCTATAGGTAAAGTGAATTTGTCAAAAATAAAGTTTATAACCTCAAACGCTCAAACCATCAAACTTCGACGTTCTCCCACTCCTCCACTGGTTTTCCTGGTTCGAACCGTGTTCGGTTCGTGAACGGTTCGAACCATTCATTTAGAAGTTTTTGAACCGGAATGAACCGTATTACTTGGTGACGTCATAACTTGCACAAGAAAATGCTTGATTTCAAATCGCTTTGAACACGATTCAACAAGGAAAAACAACTGTTGGTCTGAGGAATATGTGGAGAGGTTTTGTATAGACCGTTTAGTGCAGTTTTTTGTCAGCTGTAGGAAAATTACTGTTTTCACGAATTGATTTTTTTTCTAGTACGACGATGGCATCCACCCGGGATACATGGACGGCGGCGCCAGTGGCGGCATGTACGAGCCGCACGTGGCCCACAGGCCGTCGCTGCCCGGCCTGCACCACTCTCCCCACCTCGGCCACGCCATGCACCCCTATCACTCGAACCACGTCAGCGCCGCGGCGAACCACGTCATGGGCGGCGCCGTACCTGACGTCGGGAAGCGGGACAAGGACGCCATCTATGGGTGAGGACTAATAGATATTAATTACCAATTGATTACAAAAAAACAAGATTATATACCTTTCGCCAACGTACTATAAGGAACATTTTATTGGGTCTCAACACCAACAAAGCTTATGGCTCTTACAAATTGGGGATATTCCCTTCCAACTGGAAAATTGCAAGAGTACAACCAAGTCCTAAAAAAGGCAAAAAGAATCTACCTAGCAACTACAGACCGATCGCACTGCTATCTATTATTTCAAAGAGAGATCCACTGGTGACCTGCTCGCTTACGTCTCACATATATGGCAGCAATCTATTGAAAAATATGGTGAAACCTTAGCCGTGGCAGTTGATATCTCCAAGGCATTCGATCGAGTCTGGCACCACGGACTCCTCGCCAAGCTCCCATCTTATGGCTTGCCTCCCAAGCTAAGCTCTCTGCTAGCTAGTTTTCTCTCAAACAGGTCTCTCCATCATGTAGTGGTCGACGGAGTTTCATCTCACTCTCTCAGTATAAATGTTGTTGTTCCGCAAGGATCAATTCTAGCACCAATAATATTTCTACTCCATATCAACGATTTGTTGAAAACAACTTCATGTCCAGTACACAGCTTCGCGGATGATAGTACCCTCCATACCGCCTTCTCTTCCAGGGCTCCAATACCAGCCAGGCAAATCAGAAACGAACGAGGAAGAAATGTTGACAACATAAATATGGACTTGGCTACAATTCTCGAAAGGGGATTCAATAACTTGGTAGATTTCAATGCAAACGAAACACAGGCATGCCTCTTCTCTAGAAAAGCCGATCTCACTGTGCCCAACATAAGCTTCTCAGGAGTAACCATACCTCTGAAGACATTCATTTCGATGCTTGGTATTACTATCAGCAATAACCTTTCACGTGAGATCAATTACGAAAAAAAGGAGGAAAGTAATTAGAAAATATAAAATCTGGAAAATATCAGCTGTCATGCGGTGCCGACCCTAGAAAAACTATCAATCTCGATAAAAAAACTTAGTCCATAGAACAGAACAGGTCTGAATAGCGCTCGACGAGTCCTTCAAAATAGTCTCATTGTGTTTTAGTGCCAAATTGCTACTTTTTCATTCATCAGCTGTCATAAGGTGCTGACCTCAAAAAACTAATATTTTCGATAAAAAATTAATTCCAGAATTCCCATCAGAACTGTTCTGTTCTTTGGAATTGATTTTTCATCGAGATTTATAGTTTTTTTAGGGTCGGCACCTTACTCGGCACCTTATGACCGCTGATATTTTTCAGATTTCATATTTTCTAATAACTTTCCTCCTTTTTTTCTCGATAGTTTTTTTCACCAAAAATTGCCGCCAATGATTTGCTTAGTTCACCAGAACTTTTTATAATACATCAAAAAAATATATCAGAACTAATTTTCTTGAATGAAACGGCGCTGCCGCGCTCAAAATTAATTTTTTCCATTTACATCTACGATTTGCTGGAGCAATACAAAATTTCAGTCAGGAACTCTAGAACTCTATCAAATCTACTCAGAACCCAAAAAAAAATGAGTTTAAATAGGCGCCAACTTCACATGAGTATTTGACGTATTGTCACTTGAGTATACTTTATGATAATATTGAAGGTATAGTGATGTGCCTTTCTGTGTAAATTAGGCAATTACTACCTATTTTTGGCGTGTAGAACATAATTTGAAATTCAAAATTAGTGGTTATAGTTAGTGTGGATTATGTTATTTCTCTTATCGAAGCTCGGCAACATTCTAAAATAAATCATATCTCATTGAAAAAAAAAATGAATATATAGGTGCTTGATTATATCCTTATCAGCATTGGCCTTTCTTCCTCGAGCTGTTATCAGCTGATGAATTCACAATTTATTTCAAAATATTATTCATAAATAAACTCTGGCGTATGATGTCAATGGCAGTTTATTCGTTGACAATAACTCACTATTGTTGTTTTTTCAATATCACTCGCATCTAAATATCATTTTATACACAAACAGTAGTTGAGGTGAATTTATTACAAATATTTATCTTAAAATATTATTCAGGATTATATAGGTATATGATTCACGTGATCCGTTATCTATTGGATTTTATTTTATGAGCTATTGCGATCGATAATTTATGGATACAGCAGCACAAATTTAGGTCTACTATTGTGGGCATATATAGAGTGTCCCGAATTTACCCTGCCAAACATCACCAGCGACTTTTACTAGGAGGAAAAGTTTCGAAGAGCATGACTCGAAAAATATCTCCTAAGGGAGCTACGGCTCCTGAATATTTCTTGAATATTTCCGAAACGCCATGTGACAAAAAGATGCAATTCGGTATACAAGAACTAAACTTTCCATGCCCAATGCTGAAAGAAAGAAAAATCAAATCGGTTGGAAATTGTAGTTTTTATAAGGGTGTGTTGAAAGAATATAAACTCTCACTCATTTTTGACAATCTGCATCTGTTTTCAATCGGTTTTCAACATGAAAATCTCGATAAAAATGAATCAGAATTATTAGTATCAATCTTTTCGTTTTTGCATTTCGAAACTTCTCAGTGAGTTTTTGACAGTTTATCATCAGGGTTTTACACAGATAAAAAGGAATCCTTGGTTTGATGTAATTTGACTTTGCCTTAATGGCGCCCTGCATTTTAATAGTGCGAAATGATAGATATATTTTTTTATCGCTTGGAGCGCACGAAAGGAAATCCCTATAGTGTTCAAAGAACATCGTGCGTTCCTAGGGAAGATAGGGACAGGAGGTAGGTATTGGAATTTTTTTTGAACTTCTGGAGATTATATTTTGTCTCAACGTTCAAAACACTTTGAGACAAATGCTCAACTTTCTTTGGTACAGAGTTTCATGATTCAATGGCAATAAATTATTTTTGTTGTGATATTCAAAGATTTTTGCTCAAAATCAGATAATGGTTTTCAGGTTTGCTCAACTCTCCCCTACATGAATCCCCCTCCTATCTCCACATTCTTTAAGTAGTTGTATTGTACATGTATTGTTACATGCCTGTGATCATTGTCGGAATTTCATGTTTTATCCTTGGACATTGACTGTGACTTATGTCAACGTCTTGTTTACGTCATCATTTGACATTATTTTCAGTGTTTTCTTTCTCCATTAGTTTAGATTTAAACACGTGCTTAGTGCTGTTTGTTTGCCCTATCAATTTTATTGATATTTTCTTTTAGTAGCGCTTTCATAAGGGCACGGGGAACCCCTTTTGATATTGTCAAAAGAAACCTTTTGGCAATTACCCTTCATAACCATTTTGGTAGATGAAATTTCGATAAGATGAATTGTTCCCGCTTTCATTTATTGAGAACCCGTTTCTTCTGCAACTAGTAGCATCACATTTTTTTCAACTCCAAGGTCAAGAACAAATTATGTTATTCTTTCATATCAATCTTCTTGTGGTGTAGAATTTTCAATTAGGCTGAAGATGGTATTTTATAAGACCGAAACATGTCTCTTCTGATATTGTAACAACACCATTGAAATTTCCTTTGGAAGATCTTAGTAGATGAATTTCAGAACGCCACTGTCACTTGAATACCAAAGCTCAAAGAACCCAAATAATCTGCTGAGAGCCGAATGTGTCGTTTTTTTTTTATTCAGAACCCGCGCAGCTGACGATCCGTTCATTCGGTTTATTTTTATGGGGTCGTTAGGAACGTATTTAAGAGAGCAAACTTAGGATACTCTGTGTACAGAGAGATAAACATGTACGCGCCAAGTAATTACCGACACCTTTAAATAAACATTGTCCAGAGATGTTCAAATATTGGATCTAGCCAGCTTATGCTTACGGAAGCCAGACGTGCCTAACGCTATAATGATTCGAATACCTATATCAAACATTTCTATATTTCTCCGACAGATGTCTTTGCAGTTTTTTGTGTCACATTTCTGGCTACGTCCCAATGGAAAAAAAATGCCGAACTTTCCGATCGCTTCAAAGAACCCGTTTCGTCTCTGAAAGTTTTCGAATTCCACAACACACAGATGGTATATTTTTAAATGTCAGGAGACCTTCGTGTTGTACATTAATATTTTCAATAACATCAAAGAGCTTCTCTGGTTAGGTACTCTGCTGAATAATATGGAAACGATTAACTTCCGTCGGTAGGTTGAGTATACTCAAGGCGAGTGCAAATTGAATGCTTATCACGTTTTTTGAATAAACTCTTATCATTGATCAATCATTCTCATTTATATATTCATTACAGACGATGATTGCATTATAATATGCCTCGGCAGTAATTATCTATATATCGGGTTATGTTCGAGATATTATCGGTACCTCGTTGGTATACGCATGTTAGATAATGTACTAAATAGATAAGACAGGTTTACTCAAGTTAGATTGGACCAAAAATGGAATGTGAGTAGATATTATAATCAGAATATAATAGAAATACGACATACATTGTGTTCAAAAATAATAATTGAAATTTTTCTCGAATAATATAGATAATAAGAACACTAATTTCTAGATAAAATATACTTTCACGATAAGAACTTTTTAGGCACAGTATACAATTCATGAGATATGAGTCAAATTTTACATTTTTTCAATAAAGTATTGTACTTCTCCATGCACACGGAAAAAAAGGATTTGTTGCATCAACAAATTATTTATGCTTGAATTATTTTTGATGGACTAAGCAATTTTTTGTTGAATCAACCAGATACATGATTATTTTATGGAAGCAGCTTGTTCAAATCAAGAATGTAGTCTAATTGAATCAACAGTATAATATCAATTCCATCGACAAAATATATGGTTTTATCAGAAACAAATTATGTTGATCCAAAATATTGTCGATGTTGATTCAACTATAAACATTTTGTTGATTTGATCAAATAATGATCATTTTGATGGGAATATATCTTTGAAACAACATACAAGTTTTCTAATTCCGATGTAGCAATGAACTCGTTTTGAACGGATCATTTGCTTGAATAGAGCAACGAAATATGTAATATCAATGAGATATTTTGTTCATTTTAGATAAAGTTAATTTTTCACCTGTAGATGGCGATCATTTCGCCTCGTCTACGCCTGCCTCTAATTCATAATATACGTGAAGCTTGATTCTTCGTGTTTGAATGACAGCTGGATGAATCGATCTTGATGATTAGCAATCCGAAACAGTTTTGCATTAGCTGAAGAGAAGTTAAGACTGGAAATCTATGCTGAAAGTCGACTAGTTTCCTAGTTTAGTTCATTCTATTGATGTGAAATTCCGGAAAATTCTCGAATTAATACTGAATTTGGTTCAACAAAACAATTTGTCGAATGGAAATATTTCATTGAATCTACCAAATATTTCATTGAATCAACAAAATGATTCATTGAATCAACAAAATGATTCATTGAATCAACCAAATATTTCTTTAAATCAATCAAATATTTCATTGAGTCAACTAAATATTTGATTGAATGAATATCTTGTTATATTGAATCAAACAAAATGATTGCTTGATCCAATTCAATATCTCTCCATAAACAATTCATGGATGTGCTTGATTGAATGAGATCCAGAGTTCATTCAAGACATATTTACTTAATTCAAACTTCAAATTCGCTCTGAAACAAGATATTGATTTACTCATTTCAAGATTATATTTTGTCGTGCACATATGACACTTTTATTTGCTTCATCCAATTAAATTTTACTCGATTCAACAATTCCTTTTTTTCCGTGCAGACATAATACCCCTGCCGTGTTTTCGCAGCTTTGGCAACACTGCTGTCACACTTGAAGGGGAAAAAATCACTCAACGTGGAATAGTTTTTATGAGGAATTAAACACTCTTTGATATCTGAGTGATAAAACAGGTATAAAAATCAAGATGATAGACCATTAAATTTATAGCAGATAGCAGATATATGAGAAAGATTCCAAATTGATTTTCGATTTTCTTCTTTCTTGTGTATCCATGAAGAAACATTTCAGGTTGTAAGTAGAGCTATTTCGAAATATAATTCACGAATTTCGAGAAAGCATTCCTCATTTTGATATTCTTGTAAGAAGGTAATAAAAAGAAGATAAAAATGCTGATACAAAGCAATAAATTTCACTTGGAGAATGTTTCATGATTATTCTTGATAGATACCTACAACAGTATTTTTCCACATTCTCCGCCCTAAGAAGCCTTTACATTGAATGCCATTCATGCATGGGAACCAGCAAAATGAATTTATTTTATTAAATAAATTTCTCCACCAGACATAGCTTTATGATCATATCTTTTATATGATAACTGACCGTAAAATTGGTTTTGAAAAATGATAATAGACGGTATTACGGTATACAGGTAATCCAACAGGTGATTATGAAATTTGTTTTCATCGGAATAGTATAAATATATTATGGGGGTCAATTGCTGAGCTGTGTATATATTCGGTTGTAAACGAATTTCTTGAATGAAATCTTATCTCGCATATAACTCTCATCAAAATCCATTTCCTTTGATATTTATGGACTTTTGAACTGTAAGATATAAACTTGTCAAGAATTCCGATGGGTGCAAACCCGAAAATGTTCAGTTTGTTCATTATTGAACGTGAAATGTAAATTTGAAAAATAATATATATAATATCTGTGAAAACTACCCTGCATTTCTTGCTGTGTTCGAATTAGGTGAAAAAAGTGAAAAATATCAACATAGTTTATATTCAGCTATTTCTGATGAAATAGATTTTTATGTTATTATTTATATGGTCGTAGAAAAAATATTGTTTTCAACAATCATGTAATGGCTATCTACTATCGATAGACTTACCTCGTGCTCGTGTATTGATATAGATATCATTACATGTTCGTTGAATAGATTACTATTAATTTCGGAGGTTAGGACAAAATAATCTTAGGACCAATCAAGCTCTAAAACATACCAAAATTCATGGAATCGAGTAATTTTTTTTCCTATATAGTTTAGTGCTGGGTCCTTCCGTGTAATATTAATGAATCATCAGTCTATATTGTAGATTGTAGATGGGAGACCTCTCGATCACTGCGACCTAAAAGATCTATTGTGATTACTCTTATCTAGTTTTGGTCCTTTAACCCTAGACTTCTGATGAAGCCTAGAATTGTCCTTGAATTTTCCACCCCAGCAGGTGTGAGATAGACCTGTTCTAGGTGATTCAGCCTTTGGCGGACTAATACTTTATATGAGCAAAGTATGTGTTTCGCGGTTTCGGTCGCATTGTTGCAAAAGCGACAAGTGTCAGTCTCCGACAGGCCCAGCTTTTTGAGATGGTACCTCAGAGGACAGTGTCCTGTGAGAAAGCCTGTGATGAGCTTCAGCTCTGGTTTACTGAGGCTGAGTCGCTCTTTGGCTCGGTTCTGCGAATGGTTGATGAACCTTTCTTTCAATTTCCTGAGTTTTCCCTTTAGGTGACATTTGCTTATCTCACAAAAAGGCTCAGGACCAAAGAGTGGAGATGCTGCACCTTTCTTTGCAAGGCGATCAGCTGCCTCATTTTCTTCGGTTCGGTGTGACTTTGTTGTCCTTTCCATCACCCTGTATCACCATCTGCCGTATATAGGATAAATATAGACAAGAAAAGTATATCTCGTACAAACAACGCACCGTGACCACCAAGCTATGCTATCTCCATGCTTTGACCCGTAAATAATCTGAAGATGGCACGTCATAAATAAGATCGGAACATTTATCGCCGTGGCTGGCAGTACACTAGTTGATAGACACCATTCATAATACCGTTTTACTCGCTTGTAATGTCTGATATTAAACTGTTGATATCCATTTTATGCCTTGGTTCGCCGCATTTAAATTGAGTTTGATGTGGTGTCATTAAACATTATGATGGACCACTTAGATTTCTTCTACATATTCTGCATTATTCTTATTTTCTATATCAACCACTTTTATTGAAAGAAAAACAGTTCAGGATTCTTCAATCATTTTAATAATACGGGGGTCCCTAAATTACCCTGCCAAACGTCACCAGCGGCGTTTACAACCAAAAATAGGAAGTGAAGTTCAAATGAACATGAATCACATGGCGATTCGAAAATATTCAAGAAATATCATCTTCAGGAGGCCGTAGCTCCCTTAGGATATATCGACTCATGTTCATTGAAACTTTTCTTCCTATTTTTGATCGTAGAAGCCGCTGATGAAGTGTGACAGGCTAATTTCGGGAGACCCTGTATAATATTTGGCTGAGGAATCAACAACTTGTGTATTTCTATTTCATACTACCTCGATTCAATAGTTTCTAGAACAATAGAGTTAACCCTGCAGGAGACGCGTTATTAATTTTTACATCAAAGAACGCGTTGGGTCTGATATACCCAAAAGGAGAAAAATCATTTTTATTTCTGATAACGTGTAACATAAATCCTTTATATAGACAAGTAGTAATAAAATGAACGGGAAATGATGCCGTATTTTTATAACAAAAAAAACTCGCAAAAAAATAATCGAATTAAAATAACAATAGTATGCATTTTTGGTATCGTTGCACTAAACACCATGTATAACAATTCTTCCGAGAATTTTGCCGTACATACTTGACAAACTGACACAGAATGTTTTAGTCATATATATTTCTTACGAAACCGACATGTATAACTTGTAGGGATGAAATCATTTCAGATACATGTACATATAGATGAAATACTTACACAAAAGAACGAGTCGGGTCAACTAGACCGAAATCTGCTCTAAAATTGTTGTTCTCTAATATATACACTGCGTTGAAACTACTGGTTGGTGGAAGGTACTGAGGATTGATTGTTGCCAACCTATTTTGATAGCAATTCCCTAGCAAGGGATAAGAAATTCTCTTTTTTTTTTTAAATTTCCCACATGTCTGTATTCGTTAAAACTGGGTACCCAAATAAAAAAAAAGACTACAGCGGTCCATATTTATAATATTTTACACATTGATTTTGAAAAGAGCATCTCTTGGTATGGTACAGGTAGGTAGCCAAGTACGAAAATTCCCATATTATGAGTTTATTTGGTTTGTCTCCCCTTTTTCCCATTTCTATATTTTTTCAACAAAAATTCCCATAATATGGGTGAATTCCCACCAGGTTGGCATCACCGGGCTAGTAGCACCGTATATATATACGAAAATGCCACAAGCAATTATGATTGCTTGGGCCTGATAGACCCGATGCGTCCACTGCAGGGTTAAATACATCATTGTTCGATTGGGAACCATTTTGGTTGAATATGCTGATCAAGAATCGATAATGTCATGTCACCTCATTAACTTTCCATAAATAAATATCGTAAATGAGTTGAAACGCGAAATATTGAACTTGACCATGATAACGACAACTTCTAGAATTACTCGTGCGTATCTTTTGGTGTGTTGTCGTACACAGCTGATAATTTCAAATTCAAATTTATTACTAAATCATCGACAAAGTATATTTTCAACAATAATTGCCATGTTTGACATTTATAATTGAAATGATGATTTAAGGATCGTTTAACGCTTAATATACTTAATTATTTGTTTATTTATCATATGGCATGATTTTGATAGATCTGAGGGTCGTGTAAATATTATGTAAGTATATGCAATGTCGAGTTTTTGAAGAATGCAGCAGGGACAACTTAATTTAATACTTGCGCCTCTATGTAATTGCAGCTTGTGTTTGATGGCTAATTGATTCATTAGCCGATTTCTTATCAAAAAACCATTCATTGGCATTTCCAGTGCAGTCATCAGTAACACATGAATAAAACCTAATTAAAAACGAATGCAGGAAACATAATCAATTTTTTCCTGTAATGTTTTCGATAGCCCCTATGTCGTTTGCGACTTTGTTCAATTATATTGTGACGTGTGTGAGAACTAGTTTTTTTTTCTGTTTCAGACATCCATTGTTTCCTCTCCTGGCATTAATTTTTGAAAAATGTGAGTTAGCGACATGTACACCACGAGAACCTGGAGTAGCAGGAGGAGATGTGTGTTCGTCAGAATCGTTCAATGAAGATATAGCAGTTTTCTCGAAACAGGTAAGTGACAAAATCTGAAAGTTTTCATCACGAGGAGAGAGAATCCCAAAAAATCTGGAATAATGAATGTAACACTTCCTAGATTAACATACAGACAGTATTATCCTACAGACAGTATTAACCCTTTAGTGCCCAACCTCAGTAAAATTAATATAATATCAAATTTGACATTTGTTTTCAATTCCTATGTGTTCAACTGAGACCTATGAATTTTTTAAATTAGTGTACCTTACATGTGCGTAAAGTAACTTTTCGCACTTGTTAGGTTAATTACTATATTCTCCATTTGAACACAACACATTTACTGTGTTGTCTGGATGGCATACATTTTGGACTGCATACATTTCGCATATCCCACGATCTTCCTCATAAATAACCCAATCAGAGCGTATTTTCGAATCGGTCATCGATGTTATCGCGTTCATCTTCTTCTACATCAGTCAAAATGCTTTTATCTAGATGTTAATCTTCTAGTAGAATTGTATCCGCAAGTTACAACTCTTTATTATTCAGTGGTGAATCGTACAACCATTTGATTTTTCGCTGATCCATTGTGTTTTTATTTCCTGATGACGGTACTTTCGTGTCAGATGAAGAAAACGATATATTTTCACGATTATAATTGTAATTTGCAGTGACTAATTATTTCCTTATATTGTGGCCACATACAGATGTGACTACGCCACTGTTCAATAGAATGAAAAAAATTAAAACTCAGTGGTTCCGAAGAAATTAACATATACCTTGATTTTCCTTGTAAGTTTGACACACTGTATTTTGCGGGGAGGATGCATTGTAGGACATATACGTTGATAGAAACTGTTCACCTCAAAAGGGGGTAAGGATTTCGTATACGAAGTTTGTCGGTCCTATGCTGACGCACCCTGTATATCGGTCAGACAGGTAATACGTTCAACCACCGTATTCACGAACATCGTATTCGTTTTTCGAAACAGAAAACATATTCAACATACGCTGATAATATATCAGAAGGAAATCATAATTTTAATGACAATTTGTTGAAAAGGAATAAAACTCAACAAGTTGCAATCATTCTAAATTAATTCGAAAATTCATTAGTCCTATTTTAGTTAATGATACTAATACTAATAAATCAATTTCAATTGAATAACTAAAAAATCATCGCGAATAATAGGTACTTGAAATGTAAATTTCAAATTTGGGATATTAATGTCTCAATAACATGCGCCCATTCATTTATTATCAATTTATTAGTGATTCATTGATATCTATAAAAAATATGTGTATAATTCTACAATCTGAATTACCCATCCTATACATAATCAAATTGGTGCTAAAAAATCACATAATATTAAACGTTATTGATATTTTATAGCCAAGGTTTCATGGAAGTTAGCCGGTTTTAGCAATATTTCATAGCTATATAAGTTACGAAACCAATAGAAGAATTTAGTAAGCTTAACCTTTGGAAATTCATTCTCTGACGTTTGCTATTCCATCCTGATTTATATAAATGAATAGCATGATAGATAAAGCGGGATTATAACGTATCCTCAGCTTCCTGACTCACTTATGCTAGAAGGTAGGTATCTTTTATTACTGTGGTCTCAATAAAAATCCCAGTAACAGCTTTATAGAAGACATTAGTGGTCTCGACTTGAGACTCGGCCATATGATCGAATTACTTTTGGATAAGAGCTCAACGTTAAAGAGACATCATTAGCACAGTTATACACGTATCTATACGACCAGATGTGGCAATGGCGATATCAAAAATAATAAAGATAATATAAGTGAGTCGACTTGTCGTTTTTGCCAATTAACTCTATCTTGTTTGAGTTAATGCCAATTCTGACAGTCATTTTTTATGGGCCATACTGAGAAACACATTTTGGACGGCTGACAAACGAAAGATGCTATAAAAATCGTATATAGCCAGCAGCCAGCGATTTACACTGACATTTGAATATTCGGTTGTCGTTAATTTTATCGGTTTATAAGATAATTTTTATGGAATTCCTGAAAATGCATCGAATATATCTACATAAAATAGTCAACTACTAGTACAGCTACAGAATCGACAGAATTAAATATTTCTGGAAAAACTGTTCCAATTCCAATATTAATATTTATCTCAGTTTTCCCAAATTTGATTTTTTTGTTTTTAGTTTTGGGCTGTAGCTGACAAAAATACTGTGTTTTTTCATTGAGTTGATTTAATATTTTTGCAATATCTGTTCATATCTATCACATTCAATTATTGTTTTTTTTTTCATGAACTGTTATGTTATGAAACTTTTTTTGTTCGTTCTCCAAACCAAAAAGTGATTTTATTCTACGGGGCTGGTTGAATTATGACAAAGTTGCACAATTTTATGCCAAATACTTTCGAAGATAGGTATACGAAAATAACCGAAATTTTCTAAAACTCTTTAATTTTTTTTAAACTCATTCGAAAAAATTGATTTGAATGAATGACACTTCTTCGTGGGCACTTGTTCTTCCCTTCAAGTTGGCGTTTTCAAATTTAAAATCAGGCGTTTCATCTTCCCGATACCGTCATTAACTTATATTATTTTTAATTCGAACCTCAATTTTTATTTAATTTTCTCACACCTTGGGACATCCCAATATTATATTATTATACAAGTTTTATAAGACACTATATCGTCGCACACCTTTTTTGGAGTACGATGAGCGAAGCGAGGAGTGCTCTAAAAAAACTATAGTGCGATAATATGTCTTATAAAACGGTTATATTATACTGTTGTTGTTGCTCTATCAAAATTCTGAATTTCGTGTTCTAAAAATGACTGAAGAGGCAAACTTGAGTTGCACCCCTTCTGAACTGAGGGAATTTGGCCAAAGGGTTATAAATGATTTGTTGCCCATGAAACCTAGGCCAGCTTATGAAAAAGAATTCTACAATTTCCAAGTATGGTGTCAAAATCTATACCACCGAAGAAAAGTTAGCGATCTGGCTCTATTTTACACATATTTTCATGGACGATGCTCTTCTGAAATATCAACAATTGTTCCTCCCTTGGCAGTCCCCGCGAGATTAACCCGTCGAGTTGAGGCTGCGCACCCCTTCGTGGTCACTTTGGAGACCTGCAGAACATCTCTTTCCAAAGACTCGTTCATCGAACGAACAGCGAGGCTCTGGAACACATTGCCAAGGGAGGTGGTCCCCGAGGCATATAACCTCCAGAAATGTAAGAAGAACACCAATTCCTACCTTATTTCCCTTGGTTCTCACGATGTTCTCTGAACATTACAGGATATTCCTTTTCGTGGGAACCAGAACATAAAAAAAATATCTACTTGTTGAACTATATACCGCAATGGTTACTGAATAAATAGTTCTATTCTATTGGAATTAACACAATTTGAAAAATGACAAGAATCATTGCAGAGTATCTTGAATTACCAAATCCTGAAATATTTACAGGACATTGTTTCCTGCGTTCTAGTGTGTCCCATTCAGCAAATAGAAGCAATGAAATCCTCAGCGGTTGCTGAGCTTATTCTGTGAAAAGAAACATTTGAGGTAGGTAGCTCAAATGTTAAACGATCATTTATTTCCATTTATTTGAAATAAAAAACGATCATTCATTTCCATTTATTTAAAATAAAAAAACTTTTAGAAAATTGCGATTTTTTTTTCGTATATATCTCCGAAAGTATTTGGAATTTTCCAAGATTCAAAAAGGCATTTTGTTATTGGCATTAAATGCGCTTTGCCATAAGCTAACCCACCCTGTATCTCTTTCGGTTTACGAGATCCCAGCCACCCTGTAAGGAGTTTCAAACGTCAGAAAAAAATCTCTCAGATGACATTATGTCGTAATATCGAAGTTCACATGTTTATATTTCTCACACAAGTTTCAAGTATCTATAGATAATGACATAGTCACGATCGTTCCTTGTACAGCAATAATTGAAAGTGGCAGTGATGCTGATCGCCATTTGTTTACAGAGGTCAGCACAATATACATACTTATTTCACCTTGGACCAAACACTTTATTTTTAACAGCTTCGGCCGAATACTTTTCTGTCATTATCTTCATCCTTTATTCTCTCGAAAAATCACCCCTTACAGGCATACGTATATTAACATTGCCGAGTGTTTCTTTTGGTATTTTAATAACAGTTTTTAATTATCGCTCGATACTCCAAAGATTTCTTTAATAACACGCCCGTAGGGTAGTGATTTATTGATCTGCCAACAGTGTAAGCCCTTTTGGTCCACTTGATTGCTATGTACAGGATTCATCAAAAAATCGCGTGAGAAAACATTCTTGTAGTGGGATGGTTTGTGTTTTAGGACCACCCTGTATAAACGTGTTTTCTTTAATGGATTTCAATTTCAAAGCTTTGTGTCTCCAAACAAACTTATATGTTTTCAAATACTCCTAGTGAAAATTTAATGATTTTTAGATAATATTATATAGAAAGAACTTACAGTCACAACTCCACCACATAAAACAATTTAATATCCACCAACGGTCATGAAAAAAATAAATATTTCGAAGGATTAATCCTTCATCGTCAGCAACATTCAGTTATAGAAGAAAATCATCATTGGTAGAAAAAATAAAATTACAAAAATAAGTATAACTTATGAATAGATCATTTTTTTAAACCGCGTATAATGTGGATGAGTTGTTAGGAAACATTAATGAATTATTGAAAGGTTATACTTATTTTCATGATTTTGTTCCACAACTTCAAAACTCAAAGTCTCCTTTTTCATAATGTTTCCTGGAATCAGTAGGCCTTCAAAATTGAGGTATTGCTTCTTCAACTTCCTCAAGGGTTGTATCATCAGAAGCAGCATTACATTAATATCTTTTTGAATTTTTCCCAAACTTCACAAATTTCTCTCACTTTTAAGATTCTTGCGCAAATAAAATGCACTTTTACAATAAATCATCATCATGTGAAGAACCTAGCAATGATTTTTTCGACATCAACTGAGAATTCAGGTACTCCATTTGGTCCCAACAATAACCCA